ATCCAAATATAAGACGCACAAGCGACTTAAATGCAGCGGTATCGCACAGAACTGACGTATATCGCTTCACAGAAGTTCTGCGTGATACGGCGTACGTATATCGCTTTTGTTCGTCTATCTCGCTTATGAAATCGATATTCCAAACACTGCGCTTTACTTAATATGACGAAATCATAAGCCTGATTGACAAGCATTCCAAGAATTTTATAGAAACTATAAAAAACCATTTCGGCGAAATAATCACCATTGAATAAACATGTTTCTTACACTCGTCCAAAATCAAAAGTAATCGGACTAAAATAGCATTCAATCATCTGTACAGAATTACAGATGGTGAACTGAACCATATCATCAAGTGATAAATTTTGGAGAGCAAGCAAAAAAACTTCCCTACAACGTTGATCTCTGAATTATGATGATGAAATGCCACGTTGTTCTGTTTACTTTTGATTTTGCCGACTCTGTTTGTTTCGAGTGGTTTTTTAGCAACGCACATGGTCTTGGGATTATGAATTCCCCAAATGACTTAATCGAAACTTATGAAAATGATATAATTTTAACACATTATTTTACTTACGACTGATTGAACGTCTTGTTGATACCAAATGATTCGAATTTCGTATTGTTCGAATAAATTTCCGGATCTATCAAAAGTCGAATAAATAATAGATTCATAGTGAACAACATCGGAATGAGGATTTGAATGATCGTTTGTATTTTGTGACGGTATTGAAGTAAAAAGTTTTTCCACATCAAAAGCCAAAACTTCGCAAAAATGCTAGCAGTTTTTCGATTTCGGCGTCTTTCACGTTTTTCTATAATATCAATCCTTTCGTCAAACACCTGAATACTAACGGATGGCAGTATGCGTTGCTTATCATTGGTACTAACATAATCTATCAAAAAAATCAAAGTTGAAAAACCATTTGTATTATAAAAATACCAATAAAAACTGAACTCAATTATTATCGCACTCATTACCGGAAAAAAATTGTTGCCAATAATTAGCCCAACCACGTACTGATGCCATTACTGATTTGTTTAATAATTTTGAAAACAAAATAAACTAACTATAAACTGAACACAGCACTGATACAGCGTGATATGGTGTACAGCGTGATATGGTGACGAGCCGCGAGCTAATATTGAACCGGTCGCACGAACAGCCAAGTTTGGACTAACGCATCCCCAGTGCGATTGAATTAGTAAATATACGGTTAGCAAATTAAGCGGGCTGGTTGTTGTGTTTTTATAATATCGATGCTTACAGTTGTGCTCAATGTGAGTGTGTGATTCGTTCTGCGAATTGGCAATTACTTGAATGAATAAATGATAAGTTATCGTTAAATACAACGTTCCTTTTGTTTCATTTGAAATTCAATCAATTTCAATCAGCTGTATTTCAAATTGATTTTTGACTTCTAAACCTTAATGGAAAAGTAAAT